AAATAAAAATGAAAGAAAATATTTGCTATACCAGCCGACCTGATAGATTGAATTTGATAAATATTATTAATTATGTCTGCTAACTGTATGTAATACACTGGTCTGATAAATAACACTGGTAGAACAAAATATATTGTTAGTCACATATTTCAAATATACTTTTATATTTCTATTTGAAAAGTTAAAAAATATGTAGATTACCTATGAAAAGACATCGGACAAAATCAACACTGATTTTTAATCATAGGCCAAAATCACCAAAACTCACCATTACCATTTCATAATAAAGGCCGAAATTTGACCCGGAACTCATAATTATTGATATTGTTATAAGAATAAATCATTAAGATACTTTGGAAACTGTTTGTGTAAAATCTTAAAGGCACAGATGCGCCATATTTTTTGACCAAACATATTTTAGTCTATGAAACGGGAATGTTTAGATAAGCCAATCAGTAATAGTGTTCATAGCTCACCATCGAAATTTGAGCTTTTAAATCCATGTGTGTCTGCGTTTGAAAGTTAAAGAAACGAGTTGTCTTTTCTTGAGACACTGCCATATATAGAAAAGACATCTATAGAAATAGGAATTTTAAGATATTTTGAAGGAATTCTGCGATCATCGTACTTTTGAAAGTGTGGGTAGCAATGGCGGCTTACATAAAATGTTAACAAGAAAAGCGCCAAGATCTTTTATGCTGAGACAGTGAGATAAATGTGTTAATTTACACAGTGCTGAAGGATCGGAGCATAAATTGGAATATTGTTGTAAATTGTAAAGAAGTGGAGAAATTTGGACGAAGGAAGAGAATATTAGATATAGAATAGAATAGTCAATAAAATAAAGCAGTTTTCCAATGTAAGAAAAAAGGCCTACAGTGGTTCAAGCCGTAATGGTTTCCACCTTTTACAAGTTCATCTCCTAGTGTTTTCCACCTTTTACAAGTTCAACCCCTACTGGTTTCCACCTTTTACAAGTTCATCCCCTAGTGGTTTCCACCTTTTACAAGTTCATCCCCTAGTGTTTTCCTCTATTTACAAGTTCATCTCCTAGTGTTTTCCTCTTTTTACAAGGTCATCCCCTAGTGGTTTCGTCTTTTAACAAGTTCATCCCCTAGTGGTTTTTTCTTTTTCTCATTGTGTTATTAAGTTCATATTAAGTAACTATTACTTGGTTCTATTGATAATGTAAATTACAAACCCCCCGATACCAATAAATTGTGAATAAAACACCCTCATAGAACAAAAAACACGTAATAAAACTTCTATTTTTAATTAAATAAGTTTGGTCCACGTAATCTTATTAATGTTATGTTGACGTCAGTGGTTAATACACGTTTATACCTGTTATGACCGAACATAATAGAGTTATTATATAACTCTATATCGTATACACATATCGATAATATGTAATATCGTTATACGATGAGGGCAATGCTAGACAGTGCTCAATGGGGAGGAGGGGCGGGTGGAGATCATTGTGTTATTAAGTTCATATTAAGTAACTATTACTTGGTTCTATTGATAATGTAAATTACAAACCCCCCGATACCAATAAATTGTGAATAAAACACCCTCATAGAACAAAAAACACGTAATAAAACTTCTATTTTTAATTAAATAAGTTTGGTCCACGTGATCTTATTAATGTTATGATGACGTCAGTGGTTAATAAAAACCAGATACAATGATCCCCCATGGATTAGCTTTAATTTCAAATTTAGTTTCTACCGTAGTGAAGTTGACACTGAGTAGAAAACAGGAGTCATAAATTTTAGATACTGTCAAACATCTTTTGTCATCTCTACATAACTGCAAGCAATAGGAAAGTTTATTAGTCTCAATGATGGAGATAGTTGGTTTTTCATGGAGATGGCATTCGCCTCTACCTATTGACAAGGAAGCGCTACACTGGGTATCGTTAAGACACGCTTCAGAACAATTGGTTGATACAACTGTGAGATATTCAGATACCTCCACATATTTACCCTGGTATACAACTGAAATATAAATCGTATTGTATGGTAAATAATTTACAGTGGGCAAGACAGTTAGGTCACTAAGGGTGTTACTCTGCGTTAAGAAACAGCTATCACATTTAATATATCAAATAAATTACAATAATAAAATATTGTCACTGTTAAAATATTACTCAATACATCAATTGAGATATAGAAATATTAAAACAGAACTTGAATCATGTTGTTCAGAAGTCTGAAGTCTCTGAGTAACAACAAGTATAATGAAATATTTATGATTTGATGATTTGATTATCTTAGCATATAACCCATTGTCTTTAAAACCACATCCCCTCTAATTTCGCTGGAAGTTCTAAAATCTTAAAAGTGATTTACCGTTATAGCGTAACAGACTGAATATTATATTGAAGACAATTCTTGGAAGATCTCAGTTAATCTAAAAAACAATCATAATGAGGCCATATTGTCTTCTTAACAAGAAAGATCACTTTGTTAGAAATATAAATCTTCGTCCAACTATACACAATAGACAATATTAAACCTAAATTACCTGCTGGACAAGCTTGCTCTTCTATCCATTTACCATCTTCACCACATCTCTGAGCTCCCGTCAGACCATTTATGTAATTAAAACATTTAAAAGGAAAAACTTCATCAATATTTCTCGATTCTGTTACAGCATCCGAGTTACTGATATTCACACCTTGTGGGCACTCTAAAATGAAAAAAATAAATCTATCAGGCAATATTCCGAGGGTAGAGGTGGGTGATAAAAATAGATTTATTAGACAATGACAGGAAATTATTAGCTCAAATGGGAATGAGCCCAAAACAGACTGATACAAGGTTATAAACGTAAATTGCCAATAATTGGTATTGTTATAATTACAACGAAGTTTTTATTGAGTTCATAATTCGAGGCTTTTCCCAATTTTTCCAGATTTAAGATTTTTGTTCACTAATGGTAGGCTGTTTTTAATCTCATCAAATTATTGCTGTAACAATTCCCTCGGGTAAATCTAATGTCATAATGAATTTGGTGTCGCTAGTAAAGAACAAATAGACGTTATGCCAAACAAAGCCGATATTGTGGTCCATGATGAATAACAGCGTATATAGAACTCTCCACCCAAATTCTTTCTAAATGGAAAAGTTAGAAGTTTCGATATTTCCAAAAGTCGTGGGATAAGGTATCGTGCCACGCTCGGAGCTGTTCACAGTTCTAGTATTTCTTGTTATTTTTACACTATTTAATATCAAAGTATGCCAATTCGTTTTAAAAGTAGAATGTATATCTCTATGTTACTGCCCATAATTTTCAAAGCAAAGTGGTATTGGAGGGATAAAATATGAACAGGTTAAAAAGTTCTTGATCGCTACCCCGTCCTTTTTTTTCTACTCAGTTTAAAGGAAGTCTATTTCCAGAGGTTTTTTCTTAAATTTGAACTTCACTATAATATGTATCATGACATGTATCGCAATAGGGCATGTTAACTTCTCTGGGCGATTTGGTTTGTCAACTCAGCATCCCTTTAGGTGAGTGCACAAAGCTAATATTGTTTATTTATAATTCAAGTATTAATTATCTTACCTGTGGGTTTACATACTGGTTTTTGATATATCCATTCTCCATTAATACATTCAGGTACTTGAACCATCTTAAAGCCAGTACTACATGTAATGACTACATTTCCACAGTCGTTATCAACATTTGCGTTTGTAACATTAGGATAGGGCACACAATCTGTAAATTTAATTTTGATATTATTTTTTTCCCTTATATAC